TAAACATTGGAAGAGGCTGCCCAGGGAAGTGGTGGAGTCCCCATCCCTGGAGGTATTTAAAAGATGAGTAGATGAGGCGCTTAGGGACATGGTTTAGTGGGTGGTGGTGTTGGGTCGATGGTTGGACTCGATAATCTTAGAGGTCTTTTCCAACCTCAGTGATTCTATGATTCTAGGTAATGTCTCCAACTGCCTGGAGAGTTAAGTGCTGCAGGGGAGCACTGGTGGCCAGCAGGCCCCGCACTTGGGAGGCGAATGGCAGTGGTGCTTGGACAGGGGAAGAGCGCGCAGGAAAGCCGGGTTCCCTCCTGTCCGGCAGTGCCGCCTCTGCAAGGCCAACGGATGGAAACGCTTCGTCCTGCTTTTGCTGAAGTGCAATGATGCAGCTGGGGAAACCGCAGCCCTGGTGCGGGGCTCGGGGGCCGCAGCCTCGTGGCTTGGGGGACGCAGCGCGCGGTGACTCATCGCTGCCGTGCTGACGGGATCTCGGGCCGCTGCAGTTCAGTGCAAGCAGGGCTCAGGGCCATTGCTGTTCAGTTAATTCCCTTCCTGCAGCACAATTACAGCTTCCACCATAACAACCTTTTATTTAGCCGAGTTTTATGCTTTTATGGTACTGAAGTCAGGAAGCTTTCTGTGCTGAGCAGCAGTTGCACAGGGAGTTGGAGGTCGGCAGGGTCCTGACTGCTCCTGGCAGTGCTGTGCTGATCACCAGCTGGTGCGGTGCCGAGGCTGTGCTCTGCATGTGCCGCGGCCGCTCCCTGGGAGCAGCGCTGGCAGGTCGGCACACGGCCCCGTGCACATCTGACCAGCAGCGGTCAGCTCTGCTTGGCACAGGAGAGGAGCTGCGGAGTGGCTGCCGTGGGTGGGCAGCGTGGCTGGGAGCACGGGGCAGGCACCTGGGATGGGTGTCGGGGAGTCGCAAGGGGCGCGGGGGCTCTTGCCGGGTCCCAGCTCCAGCATGGTCCAGCCAGTGGAGGGCATGAGTGGTGGGAGGATGGCGACCCACGGCCCCCCTGCCTGAGGTCCCTTCTCTGAAAGGTTCATGGGGAAGCCGCAGCTCCAGGGCTGACTCCTGCTGTTTTGGGTCTTGGTTTCTCTCCCATGGGGGTGTAAAGAGGAAGGCAGCACCTGCCTGTGCGGCCACATGACGGAGTGGCGGGAGCTCAGGCACAACGGGTGCTCGCCCTGTGCCCGCTGCGGGGCCAGCAGCGAGCAGCACTGTGTCCCCCCGGGATGGGACTTCTCCCGCTGGATGCCCTGGGCAGTGAGGGGGACGGGTCATGGGGAAGCCGCAGCTCCAGGGCTGACTCCTGCTGTTTTGGGTCTTGGTTTCTCTCCCATGGGGGTGTAAAGAGGAAGGCAGCACCTGCCTGTGCGGCCACATGACGGAGTGGCGGGAGCTCAGGCACAACGGGTGCTCGCCCTGTGCCCGCTGCGGGGCCAGCAGCGAGCAGCACTGTGTCCCCCCGGGATGGGACTTCTCCCGCTGGATGCCCTGGGCAGTGAGGGTGGGACGGGGAGCCTGGGGGGTCGGTAACGTTCGGGTCTGGCGGCAAGTGAAGCTGTGCTGACTCTCCCCTTCCTCCCACCCAGTCAACCTGCTGGGGCTGCTGAAGTGGCGCTCCAAGCCCAGCCTCCTCTCCAGGAACCTCCAAAAGCTGATGAACGTGGATGGAGGGGAGGTCATCAAGGTACAGCCGGGACCTTCCCCCTGCCGTGCCGGGATCTTCCCTCCCGCTTCCTCCCTTCCCTGCTCCTGCGCTCGTTCTCCAGCCATGTCCCCAGGCAGCTGCTCCCTGGGGGGGCAGAGGGATGTGAAAGCTCCCGGGGCGGCAGTGTCGGCACCTGGGGTTTCCTGGCAGCCTGTCTGGGTGTGCCGAGAGCAGCTGCCGGAGTTGGGGGAGCTGCCCTGGCCTGGGGCTGGACTGGGCGCACTGGGAGCATCCTGCATGGCCTCTGCCTCTTCCCTGGGGAGAGATGCTGCCTCTGCCTGCGGTGATTGCCCTGTCGGCCCCGGCAGCCCCGCTGAGGCTGCTGGGGCAAGCAGGCAGCTGGAGGGGCAGTGCCAGGCTGCCTGCCAGGGGACAGGCCGAGCCGGGGAGTCGTGTCCTGGCAAAGGGCTGGATGCCCCAGGCTGAGAAAGGCTGAAGATGGACACAGGAGCTCTGTGCCCAGGCAGGTTGCTCCCACGCTCAGAGGTGGGTCTGGGACAATGCTGGGAGTTAACACTCGAGTCCTCACAGTCCTCTTGTCTCCCCCAGTTCCTCCAGGACACGTTGGATGCCTTGTTCTCCATCATGATGGAGAATTCGGACACGGATGTCTATGACACGCTTGTCTTTGACGCCCTGGTAAGCGGGACCTGCTTCCCTGCGAGCTCTGAGTGTGGGTCTGACCCCACTGACCAGTGCGGGTGCCCAGGACGGGGTTGAGGTCATTCTGGGGCGGGTTTGAGATGGGGGTCACTGATCTGACCAGACAAGCCATGCTCAGAGCTGTGCAGTGCCTCCGGCTCCACCACAGTGCCACAGGTTAGTAGAGCCCAGCCGTCCAGGCATGGGGCAGGGCTGTGGCTCTGCAGGGACACTGCCCCTCCAGGGGACAATTCCAGCAAGATTTCAAGGTGTTTGTCCTACACCAAGACAAGAGTGACCCCAGTGACAGGACCAGGGGAGGGTTGGGGTGGCTCTCGTGGGACACTTGGGATAGATGATGGTGTGAGCTCCATGCAAACTGGCTGTGAAGAGTCCTGCGGCCGCTGTGCTTGGGGCTTGTTTTGGGCTTTTTGTGTCTTGGAGCTCTGCCCGTCCCGGCAGGCTGGGCAGGCATGCAGGGGGCTCTGGCAGCCTCAGCAGCCCCCACGAGGGGTCAATGCCGCTCTGCCTGTGGCTGTGGGCACCCGGCTGTCCCCGGGCATCCTGCTGCCCGCACTGAGCCGTGCCCACTGCCCACTCCACCCAGGTTTTCATCGTGGGGCTGGTGGCTGACAGGAAGTTCCAGCATTTCAACGCCGTCCTGGAGGCCTACATCCGCCAGCACTTCAGTGCCACGCTCGCCTACAAGTGCGTACCCGTCGGCCACGGTGTGGGGAGAGACAGGGCTGGGACGGCAGGCATGGGGAGTGATGGGGCTGTAGCCTGGGGAGCGCCCGGCGGGCAGCATGGCACAGCTCAGCGGCTGCCCCAAAGGCTGCTCAGCCGAGGCCGGGAAGCCTGCTGAGTCCTGGCCACACGCGTCCCCGTCCTGCAGGAAGCTGATCTCGGTGCTGACACAGTACGTGGATCACGCGAGCCGGGGGGAGCCCTGCGAGCTGCTCATGCGCACCTTCAAGGCCTTGGAGTACATCTTTAAGTTCATTGTCCGGTCCCGGCACCTCTTTGCCCAGTAAGTACCGGCGACTGCTTCCACCGGTCCAGGTGCCGCACTCTGCCAGGCTGCTACTCTCTGCCAGGCTGCTACGCCAGTGCCGCGTGTTGGCGGCACCACTGGAGCGTCGGCCCCTGGAAATGGGGTCTGCGGGAGGGAGGAAAGGAAAGGTCCCACAGGGGTCCCTGTGCCACGGGAGTGGTGTCGGTGTTGACCATTGGCCCTGGGGATGCGGCACTGACACTTTGACCTGCTGGTGCTGGTGCTGGCTGCTCGGGTTGGATGCAGTACCGAGGGGTGGTACCCACGGCTCCTGGCACACTGTGGACGTGCTGCCATGTCGGCCGGTCCCCAACCAGGCTCTCCTCCACCACCGCGCTTCCTCTCCCTGAGGTTTCCGGCAGTTTTCTGCTGCACGCTGTCCTCTGGTTGCTGCTGGGAGCGGTCGTGGTCTGGCGTGGGTGGCAGGCAGCGCCGTTCACCTCAGGGCAGGAGAGCTCCTGCGGCATGAGGGGCAACAGCAGGATGGCTGCCATTGCACAAACCGCTCTCTGGCTGACGAGTGGTGTTTTACAGTGTTTGCAAAGTGCATTGGTGGCGAGGCAGCACACCCACGTTAGCACGAAGCAAGCCTGTGGTTGCCAGGCTAATTGCTGCTGGTTCCTCCTGCGTGTGTGCTGATTGAGAGCCTTGGCGCGAGGTGCTGGTGAGATCAGCTTTGGCGCCACAGCTGCGGAGTTGCCCATGAGCCCCGGCTGCAGTCACCCAGCGTGGGGCCCACGCTCCCTCCCCACCATGCCGGCGGCTTTGCTCTGTCTCTGCGCGGTCAGGCCCTGCCCTGGCTCCTGCTGCCACATGCTGTGGCTAACCCAAACGCTGTGTGAACAAGGCCAGAGGGACCTGCAATGACCTCCTGCCCAAGGCAGGGCTGGCTCTGCCCGAGCCGCCCATGACAGGTGGGTTTTTCCAATGTGCTCTTAAAAACCTTCCACGATGGAGATGGCAAAACTTCCCCGGGCAGCCTGCTCCCCTGTGTAGCTGTCACCGCGGCTAGGAAGGTTTTCTGGCGTCCAGCCTCGCTCTTCCTGCTTGTTCCTGGAGAGCTTCTGCCTGCCTGGCCCATGCTGTTCAGAAGCTTTTCAGCAGATTTTTTTCCTTGGAGAGGAAAACATTGCACTTAAGCCTTGCTGAGGGTATCTTACTATGGAGCAGTGCTCCGCTTGTCTCAGACTGTCTCAGCCCTCAGCCTGTCGTTGGCCTCCGTGCTGCCCCTGCAGCATCTCCAGCTCTGCCGACAGCGTTACCTGCGAACCTCCCTGCTTGGCACTAACGTCGCCATTAGCGGGTGTGGATGGCAGCTGGTGCGGATGGTGGTGGGTGTGGTGACAGTGATTTGAGCAGCGGGGTCTGTGCAAGGACCACCCCAGCACATCAGTGACAAAGACACAACTCTGGCGTTGGAGGGTTCGTATGAAGCACCCTCTACCTCTGCGGCTCCGGCAGCGCCCACGGCTCCCAGATCTCATCCTGGGCTGCTCTCACGCTTCAGCTGGTCACTGGGCTTTCAAATAACTTCCAATGCAAAGTGTGTATTTGGTCTCGGGGGGTCCGTCATGCCGCAACAAAACCAGAGGCGGCACGGTGCCTGCCCCAGGGCCTAGGGAAGGGGTGCCTGGGCCAGCCCCCCCCCAACTTGTCCTGGCTCAGTGGCTCATCCCCCCACTTAGCACAAGCTCTAAAGGGGGTTGTAAGAAAGAGAGAGAGACTTTTTACCAGGGCCTGTAGTGACAGGACAAGGGGCAATGATTTTAAGTTGAAGGAGGGTTGATGTAGATTGGACATAAGGAAGAAATTCTCTGCTGTGACGGTGGTGAGACACAGGAACAGGTTGCCCAGAGAAGTTGTGGATGCTCCATCCCTGGAAGTGTTCAAGGTCGGGTTGGATGGGGCTTTGAGCAACCTGATCTAGTAGAAGATGTCTTTGCCCACCGTAGGGGGTTGGACTGGATGATCTTTGAGGGACCCTTCCTACCCAAACCCTTCTGTGATCCTGTGATAAGCAGCATAAGAGGCTGGGAGCCTCGATGGCTCCTTGTTGCTGCTGAGGATAAGGTGAAAGTCCCCCCTGGGTATGTCCAGAGTCCTCCCGGGACCTGGTTTCATTTATTCCCCGTGGACATGAGGTTCCTGCCCTAATCTGCGTGATGGAACAAACAAGCCTCCTCCAGTGCACGCGTGGGTGAGCCTGGCCATGCTGCTGGGCTGAAGTGGAAAAATGAAAACACGACTGATCAGAGTTACCAGAAAAAGCAAGTTACGTTCCTCTTTCATTCCAAGTATACAGCACCGAAAGCTGAAGTGTTCCAAGGGAGAGGCGGGAGGCAAGGTCCCTCTGCACGCAGCATTGCCAGGCTGCGCTGGTAAAGCAGCAGGGTCACCTTGTGCTGTGGGGCCACGGTTCGGCAGGCAGGTGTTTTCCAGGGAGCGGAGCGAGAGACCAGGGTCTGCCACCTCCACCTGAAATCTCAACCACCATGCAGAAGTGCCAGGACGGGTGTCGTCATCCGTGTCGGTGCTCTGTGCCCCGCTCACGGTGAGGAGCTGTGTTGAGTTCCCGGTATCCCCAGGGACTCTCAGACCTCACTTTGCCCCCACTTTGTCTTTGCCGTCTCGCTTTGCTGTCTACCCGCGTTCCCCGTGTAGCTCATGCTGCAGAGCATGCGTCTGCTGGTGTACGAGCTGCTGCAAGCCCTGCCTGTCCTTCCTCATCGCTCTCGCCTGCCAGCCCTTCCCAGGGTCTTGTTCATGGCCAGGCGGCTGCTCCAGGGCTCTGGGGTGCTCCAGCATTAGACAGAGGTATCAACCTCCTCGTCATATATAAAAATACAGAGCAAATTCCCCGGCTTATAGAACTTCTGGCAGAGAAAATTAATTATATGGAGCATTTGCAAACAGCCCTGTGAATTAGTTTGCATTGGAATGAAGACATCCCTGAAGACATTTAGTGGTTTTATTCATCTTCCCTTTATCTTAGTGATCTTAACAGTGCAATAACATGGACTCCTCAGATCTTCTAAATACTTTAAATGGTGCTACAATTTGTACACAGTCTATAATTTAAAGAAATTAGATTGTAATTATAATAAGTTACTGCAGATTGCTGTATCTATTTGATTATGTGTGGTACTGCTGAAGTACCACATGTACAAGCAGCTCAAGTAGCTCGTACGAGGATCCCAGGTTGCTGCGAGGATGATTGAAGCAGGGCCCGGCCAGTGTGGGGCTGGAGGTTCATCGCACAACCCCCTTTGGCAGTTCTGTGGCTGCTGCATGGGGAAAGTGCTCCCCGATTCCCCTCCTGCCTTGGGCAGGAGGCGTGGGAGCTGGTGGGCTGTGAAGGGGCCAAATCCTGGCGCTGGCCGTGGGAGCTCTGTGCCCGAAATGTGCTGTCCTGTGGGAACGTGCCCCCAGCCCTTGCTGTGCCACATCTCCAGCCGCCTTCCTCTTCGGCACCCCATGCACCGCGCCAGGGCATGCGGGGACTGGCAGAGCCCCACAAAGCTCCCCACGCCCTTCCCAATGTCAGGGACTTCTCCCATCCCCTGCCCTGGCCGTGGTAACCCCAACTCCCCTCGGAGCCCCCCTGGCACCCATGTGGCTCTGTTGCCTCGGGGAGGGGGCTGGGGGAGCTGGGACTTTGACGGCACGGTGACGTGGTCTCCCGCTCACTGCTTCCTCCTTGTCAGTTCCTCCGTCTGCTTCTGCTTTTTGGCTGCCACCGAAGGTGCTGAAGTTTTCCTGAAAGTGCTGGTTGTGTCACCCTGAGGATCACCCTGTGCGGGGTCTGCTTTCCTGCTGGCGTGGGGGGAGCTGGTGTTGCTTGCTCCCGCCAGCATCTCTCCACAGCCGCCTGTTTTGCAGCTCGTAGCCCCCTCGCCCAGCCTCGCTCAGCCCCCCCGGTTTCTGCAGCCAGCGCCCCCCTCCAGCAGCACCCGCGGGCTCCGCCACAGCCCCGCTCATCCCTTCTCCTGTCCCCAGGGCAGCCCAGAGCCCCTGCGGGATCTGGCCCCTTACCCCCACCCTCTAGCCAGTCACTTTTGCAGCCAGGGACCCCGCAGCTGCTGAGCGTCCCCACCGCCCCCCCCCCCCGGGAGTTTTTTGG